GCTCGGAACATGATGTCATTTGAGTAATTGTTGACTGGCTCACTAAGTCTTCCTACTTCTTAGCCATTAAGATGACCGACCCCTTAAATAAGTTAATAAGAATATATATCTAGGAGATAGTTAGGTTACATGAAGTGCTAGTGACAGTACTATTCGACAGGAATCCTAGGTACATTTTCTCGGTTCTGGTTTAGTTTTCAGCAAGATATGAGAACCAAACTGTCTCTTAGTACCGCATTTCACCCTCAAACTGATGGATAATCAGAAAGCACGATTCGCACACTGGAGGATATGCTACGAGCTTGTGTTATTGACTTCATGAGCCATTGAGATGATCATTTACCCTTAATAGAGTTCGCCTACAATAACAGCTACCAAGCAAGTATCGGCATGATTTCGTACGATGCGTTATATGACCACCCATGTAGATCGCCGATCTGTTGGGAAAAGGTGGATGATAGAAAATTATTCGGCCCACATCTTGTGAAGGAGATTACAGCTAAAATAGTTAAAATAAAAAAGAACATCCAGACGGCTCAGAACAGACAGAAAAGTTATGCAGACAGCTGAAGGAGGGATTTGGAATTTGAGAAAGGTGATCGAGTGTTCTTTAAGGTCACTCGTTTCAAGAGAATCAATAGGTTTGACAAGAGGGAAAACTAAATCCTCGATTTATTGGGCCATTTGAAATTTTAGATAGAATTGGTACCGCCGCCTACAGACTGACACTACCACTAGAACTATCTAAAGTATAATGTGTTCCATGTGTCCATGTTACGCAAATACAACTCAGACCCCTCTTACATCTTGGCCCACGAGACTCTTTCACTCTAGAAAGATCTGTTCTATAAGGAGGTATCGGCGGGTATTGTGAACCGAAAGAGAAGAGTACTCTGCAATTGAAAAATTTCCTTTGTTAAGGTCTTATGGCAGAATCACACACACAGAGGCCACATGGGAGCTAGAATCAGATTTCAAAACCCAATATCCTCAACTGTTTGATTGAGTGAGAAGAAAACAAATTTGAGAGATCAAATTTCTTTTAAGGGGGAAAAAGTTGTAATATCCAAGTCCGGAATTTGCCCCAGAATTAATTTTAAAATTTAAAAAATGTACAAAAATCTAATTTTGAAATTAATAATTTTTATTTAACGTGAAATTAGGAAAAAAATATGTTGAGAATGAAATTGAAAAATAATTTTGGAAACAATTGGTGAAAATTTGGGTTCGGATGATATTTTTGAAAGAAAAATAAAAACTAGAAAATCAAACGTA